GTTATAAGGGTAGATAGTAAACTTTTAGGAAAGCGTATTTAATACGTGACTAGAATTGATATCCGGTCCAGCCATAGTTCACACCCTTATATTTTACTATTTTTATCCTCATGTTCTAACAATCTAAAAGTTTACTATTCCGAAATTATGGCCGCTACTCAACGTGATATCAACACCAATTTTCAAAAATTGGAAAAGTTCGAAGGTGTGGAATTTCGAAGGTGGCAGAAAAAGATGGATTTTCTGCTCACTACTTTGAAGGTCGTCTATGTGTTACGCACCCCGAGGCCGCCCGAGGATGATGAAAACGAGACTTTGGAAACAAGCCGCCGCTGTATAAAGTGGGACAACGACGACTACATTTGCCGTGGGCACATTTTGAATGGTATGTGCGATTCTCTTTTTGATGTGTATCAAAATGTTGAATTTGCTAAAACGTTGTGGGAATCGCTAGAGTCTAAGTACATGACCGAGGATGCTTCTAGTAAGAAATTGCTCATTAGTAACTTTAATAGTTACAAAATGGTGGACTCTTGTCCGGTCATGGAGCAATTTCATGAGATTCAACGTTTATACGATCAACTTTTGATACACAACATGCATGTCAATACCCCCTTCATGGAAGGAAGTGAAAAATAGCCTCAAACGCAAAAAGGAGGATTTGTCAATGGAGCAACTTGGTCGCCGACTTCAAATTGAAGAAGGCATTAAGTTGCGTGAAGGTGAAAATGGTAAAAAGAGCGACCTTCCAATTTCCTCTATAAATGTTATGGAGGAGGGACAGTCAAGTGGGACTAAGAAATATAAAAAACGTCCCGGGAAATTCACTAAAGGTTCCAAGTTTCAAAAGAAGCCGAAAAATAAGAAAGTAGACTCTTGTTGGGAATGTGGTGGTCCACACTTCAAGAGGGACTGCCCGAAGGTGAAGAAGAAAAAGGCCCAATTGAATGGCCATCCTAACGGTGGCCAAGACAACCAAGGTCAGAATCTTTTTGTAGTTACAAATGATGTTGATAACAACATGATTTTTGTAGCTATGCTTTCTGAAATTTGTGTTGTGCAGGATGATGAATCTTGGTGGATCGACACCGGAGCGACAAGGCATGTATGCAAAGATAGGCAAGCCTTTAAGACTCTACAAGAGTTGGAAGAGGGGCCGATCTTATACATGGGAAATGATTCTACTGTGCAAATTCAAGGAATTGGCCAAGTAGAGTTGGAATTAACTTCTGGGAAGAAATTAATTCTTAATGATGTGTACTTTGTACCACAAATCCGGAAAAATCTTGTCTCCGGTGGCATCCTAAATAACTTTGGGTTTAAACTTAGCTTTGAAGAAAATAAGTTTATTTTATCTAAGGGTGGTGTATTTGTAGGCCAAAGTTTCTTTTGTAATGGCATGTTCAAACTAAGTGTTGTAAATAAAGTAATTAATTCCGTTTATATGGTTTGTGGTTCTTCTTTGTGGCACAATAGGTTATGTCATGTTAATTATCATAGATTAAGTGACATGTCAAAAGTAGGATTAATTCCTCCTTTTAATGTTAACATAGAAAAATGTAGAACTTGCATGTTAAACAAAATCACTAGAAATTCTTTTCAAAATGTTGAAAGAAAATCCAACATGCTTGAATTAGTGCATAGTGATTTGTGTGATTTCCATAGCACTCCTTTTGGAAATAAAAAATATGTAGTCACATTTATTGATGATTGCACAAGATATTGTTATATATATATCTTTTATTTTCAAAAGATGAGGCAATGGATAAATTCAAAGTTTTTAAAGCGGAAGTTGAGTTACAAACAGGAAAGAAAGTAAAAAGGCTTAGAACGGACAAAGGAGGAGAATATTATGAGCCTAAGTTTTTTGAATCCGTTGGAATAATCCATGAAACAACAGCCCCTTACACGCCGCAACAAAACGACATTGCTGAAAGAAAGAATAGAACTTTGAAAGAAATGGTTAATTCCATGTTGTCTAATTCTGACTTAAGTAATGGATTTTGGGGTGATGCTATGTTAACTGCTTGTTATATTCTTAATAGAGTGCCTAACAAGAAAAATAAGATTACCCCATATGAACTTTGGCACAAAAGAACACCCCAACTAAGTTATCTTAGGATATGGGGTTGTAGGGCAATCGTGAGATTGCCATAACCTAAACGAAAAACGTTAGGTGAAAAGGGGGGTAGAGTGCATATTTATTGGATATGCTGAACATAGTAAATCTTATCGATTCTATGTTATTGAACCGAATGACTCAATTGCGGTTCACACTGTTATTGAGTCTAGGGACACTCTTTTTGATGAGAAGCGGTTCACTTCTATTCCTAGGCCAAAGGATGTTGATCCCGGTCCAAGTAATTCACACTTACATGAACTGGAAAAGGATCATGAAAATGAGCCTGAAATAAGACGGAGTAAGAGAGCTAGAAAAGAAAAGTCATTTGGTCCCGATTTCCAATTATATTTGGTTGAGGGATCAAGAGAGACCCTTGAAACTCAAACACTATATTGTTATAGTGTTGAGGAGGATCCTAACTCTTTTAAAGAGGCAATGAAATCTCAAGATGCTTCCTTCTGGAAAGAGGCCGTGAATGATGAAATGGATTCAATCATGGGCAATAATACTTGGGTTCTAAGTGATTTACCACCCGGTTGCACACCAATCGGTTGTAAATGGATTTTCAAGAAGAAAATGAAAGTAGACGGTACCATTGACAAGTTTAAAGCTAGATTGGTTGCACAAGGCTTTAAACAAAAACATGGTATTGATTACTTTGACACATATGCACCGGTAGCTAGAATAAGTACCATAAGATTGTTAATTTCTTTATCGGCTATTCACAATCTTGTAATTTACCAAATGGATGTCAAAACTGCATTCTTAAATGGTGAATTGGAGGAGGAGGTGTATATGAAACAACCCCAAAGGTTTGTTGTTAAAGGACAAGAAAAGAAAGTTTGTAAACTTGTCAAGTCCTTGTATGGTCTGAAACAAGCACCTAAACAATGGCATCAAAGGTTTGATGAGGTGGTGCTGAAAAATGGTTTTAAAATAAACCAATTAGACAAGTGCGTGTATAGAAAATTTAATGAGCATGGTAATGATGTCATTATTTGTCTATATGTGGATGACATGCTCATATTTGGCACTGATTTGAGGCAAGTGAAAGAGACAAGCTTTCCTCTGTTCAAACTTCTTCAGGAAAGATATGGGTGAAGCGGAAGTTATCCTTGGAATTAGGATAATTAAGCAAGGTGATACTATCACCTTAACACAATCTCACTATATAGAGAAAGTGTTGAAAAAATTTGGGAGTTTGGATTGTTCGCCGGTTTCCACTCCCATGGATCCTAGTTGGAAATTAGTTCCAAATAGTGGGAACGGTGTATCACAGCTTGAATATGCTAGGGTGATTGGGTGCTTGATGTATGCAATGACTAGCACCCGACCAGATATTGCATTTGCGGTAGGAAAGCTAAGTAGATATACTAGTAATCCTAATATATTTCATTGGCAAGCCTTGAGGCGAGTGCTGAAATATCTAAAGAAAACAATGAGCTTCGGCTTATGTTATAAGAGTGAACCCTCTATATTAGAAGGTTATACAGATGCAAGTTGGATAACTAATCAAGAGGATTATTCATCCACAAGTGGATGGTTATTCCTTCTTGGAGGAGGTGCTATTTCATGGACATCTAAGAAACAAACTTGTATCACGGACTCTACCATGGCTTCAGAGTTTATAGCTTTAGCATCAGCTTGTAAAGAAGCGGAATGGCTAAAGGATTTGGTGTTAGAAGTACCGATATGGCCTAAACCTATGGCTCCGATATCAATCCATTGTGATAGTGCATCAACTCTGTCAAAAGCTTATAACCATGTGTACAATGGTAAGTCAAGGCACATAGGAGTGAGACACAGCTATGTGCGGGAACTTATAAGTTCTGGAGTTGTTGTGATTGATTTTGTACGGTCGCATGTGAATTTGGCGGATCCTTTTACAAAAGCGATGCGCAACTCAACGTCTAGTACAACGCTAGATCTTGAGTTCAATGATGATGAGTAAGTCACTCCGTGGTTGAAGCACTTTTGAATATTAACCATCCCAAAGTAAGTGCTTGAGACTGCAATGTGTAATGAGGTTGACTATGTCTTAATAGATCTTTTGATAAAGTGTTTGATTGCAGAACACGATTTGAAAAGATCTACCTATGTGAGCTAGAATGGCGGTCGATTCACCAAGTTTAAGGCTTTACTTGTTGGAGCTCATGAATGGATATGGACACAAGGTCGTTAATGGTGTCAAGTTTCTAAGTGAAATTGTATAAAGACTTATGTGTGTAATATCTTCAGTATTTCAAAGTGGTTGTATAGTTCAAAGCTTAGTCTACTATTATGATCCGAAATATTGTTTAGTGTTAGTGATAAAATACTTAGACTGCTTTACATACAAATCACTTGTTTAGTGTTATTTTGTCAGTAGCCAAAATGCACCGTACACCTTCTTTTTATCCCAAAAGTTCTATCTTGTAACCCGGTTACTGTTATAAGGGTAGATAGTAAACTTTTAGGAAAGCGTATTTAATACATGACTAGAAGTGATATCCGGTCCAGCCATATTTCACACCCTTATATTTTACTATTTTTATCCTCCTGTTCTAACATATACAAATGTGTCTTTTTATACACAAGTTCATATTAATAACTTGTAGTGGCTATGATTATGTTCAATTTTAAAATGTAGTGACACTGAAGGTAAACTAATCGTAACTATCATCATACATATAGTCAAATTTTTACACAAAAATTTTATGTCAGTAATATATTAGAAAAAAGCCCAAACTTAAGAATGCATACATAAAGTTTATTTCAAGATCTCTATTCAATTTGCATCCAAATGAGAGAAATCCAAGTTACCATTCTCTAGAAACTCATACGGCTTTACCATTCTCATTTAGATATCTTGGTTTCCCATTTAAACTTAGGTCACATTGTACATATTCAGTAATAATGATTCACTAATAAATGTGAATAAATAAAATACCTCGTAAACGATAGGCAACACTTAGATTTGGCATGAAAGGGTATACGAGAAGGCGTTGGGTCGGTGTGGTGCAGAAGCCAATGAGCCTTAAGAGATTACGGTGAACTGCCACACTTATCATCTCAACTTCACGGTAGAAAGAAACATCTCCATGAGGAATCTTATTGTTTGTTAACCGTTTCACTGCAATCTTCGTGTTATCAGAGAACACTCCTTTGTAAACTATTCCAAAACCTCCTTCTCCAACTACATTCTTTTCACTAAAATTGTTCGTAGCTTTTTGCAATTCTGTCCATGTAAACCTTTTTAACTGACCAAATTCCATTTGCCGATCAACTTCTCCTGAATTTTACACCACTCTACATCAAGAAAGAGCTATATATGTCCACAGTCCACACACCCATATATGCATATATATATACGTACGATGAATGTATAAATCATACAATAACGAACTACCTATATATATTGACGCATTTTAATAGACGATTTCAGTTCAAATGAAAAAATGATCTTATGAGAGAAATAATGAGAATGAATCTGGACCGTTGGATTGTATTATGTGAAATTAAATGTGCATTAGGTGAAACAGAAATGTACATTAGGTGAAATTGAAACGTGCAACACAAAGGGTACGACGTAGTGGCATATGTGAAGCTGAATTGTTCCTTAGGTGAAACTGAAATGTGCAGAATAAAAGATACAATGCAGAAACATTTCTGTACCTTTTATTCTACACATTTCAGGTTCACCTCATGCACATTTGAGTTTACCCTTTATTATGCACATTTTAATTCACTTAATGCACATTTAAATTTCATTTAATGCACAATTTAGTTTCATATGTGTATGATGGTAAATTTTGATTAATCAAAATTGTTGACTTTTTTAGTCAATGATGGTAAATTTTGATTAATCATTTTAACATCTACATAGTATTTTAGTCAAAATTATAAATTTTATATTTTTATGATAATATTTTTAACCAAGAATGTTATCAGTCAAAGTCGAGAATGTTTGACTGGAAAAGTCAAATATAGCTATTTAAAAGGGCAATTTATAGCCACAAGTGTGTGCTTGTGCTGATTTGAAGGAGAGTGATATAATTAAGGGGTAAGGGTCAAATTGGAAATTATGGTTACATGAGAATCTCATATTAGACGCTAAAGTTTCAAATGGACCAAATTGGACATTATGGTTACATGTGTATCTCATATTGGACATTAAAGTTTCATAATTCATAGTTTTTGGACACTCACTTATGATTCCTTTTTCCTTTAATAAAAATTGTTAGTCTTATTTTTCTTTTTAGTGAAAATAAACTAATTCAGTTCATGTATTTAAGGTTTTAGAATATACTAAGTATAATTTTATGTTAATTAATAACTTTTTAAACTTAACAAGTTAAAAATATATTTATGATTTTTCATTCATATGATTTTTATGGAACTTTGGGAAATATCAATTTGTTAAATTGATAAAACAATATTAAAGAATTCAATTACTTTATAATATATTTCCTTAAGTAGAACATCTAATTATATATTTTAAATCTAAATACACGAATTTAGCTATTTTTATTTTTTAGGTACATAAAACAAAGGGAAAAAGGAATACTTATAGCTTTCAAATGTGAAAAATCTTTGGTGGGTGTCCAAAAATGATCATAAAAGTATTAAATTTGATCCATTTAAAACTTTAATGTCAATACGAGATACACGTGTAATTATAATGTTCAATTTATTGGTCCAATTGAAAATTTAGTGTTTAATACTACCTCCGTTCTTAAATAAATGCAACACTTTGACTTTTACACTATTCACATGTTCTACTTTGACTTTTACACTATTCACATGTTCTACTTTGACTACGTTTTATTTATTAATGTAATAATAGTATTTTATGAAAAAAATATTGTTAAACTTGTCTCATTGTAAATTTTCATATTCTAATTTTTTTAAATTTTTTACTAATACAAAATCATTTATATTAATGGTCAAAGTTGTGTCTCGACAAGTGTAAAATATTGACCGTTGCATTTATTTAAGAACGGAGGAAGTATGAGAGATTCACATGGAACCATAATGATCTAATTAATTAAGCTGATGAGATGAACCTGCAACATCTACGAACAGCTCGCGCATGTAGCCTCTATGTCTGCCTCTGAAGAAAAGCAGAAGAAGAGATCCCACAAGAACCATGACACCCAGAATTCCAACAGCAATACCAATTACCATTCCAGTCGTCTTTGACTTGCTTGAAGAAACTGCATGCATGCATGCCAAGAGATATATATTAAACCCTACATGGCTACGTATATGCATGTCGAGCAAACTAAATTATTCCATTTCACTATGTCTAGCAAACTAAATTATTCAATTTACCTCTACTTGTTTCGCAATGACGGCTGAAGTTGAATCCACAATTCAAATAGTTACCTGTGAAACTAGATCAAGAAAACAACCCAAGGATGTCATAATGTGAATAAATGTAGGAAATGTGACTAAATAGTTCAATCTCGTCTCACACTCTCACTAAAATTAAGACATTTGTAACAAATAATTTGCAAATGGATCATGTATGATTCGACCTAAAGATCACATAAGATCAAACAAAGAAGGACGTGTAGAAATCATGTTGGTCTTATACCCGGTCGAGTACGTATATCATGATATCCGATCAGATATGGATTTGATTTCAACATCTTCTGGGCTATTGCCAAGAAAACTCGTCCGGGTATCCTAGATACCTGATTGGGTATCCGACTCAGTCTCCTCATTTCTCCTATAAAAAGCTCATTTCCTTTCTATATTTTAGACACATCCATTATTCCTCATACTAAAGCTGAGTTAGTTTAGTAATTTTTCATTTATTTCTATTGTGTTTAGACTCCAATGAAAAGCTAAACTCTTTCATCTTGGTTTAGCAATATTGAAGTTTGTGATTTTTATGTTGTGAGTTATTTAACTTTAACCATCCTCTGATCTCTTGAATTTTAATTACATTCATATTTCTATTTCATAACAATATTTGAGCATTGCTATAAAATCAAATAGTTAATTCTTTCATATTGATCATTACTAGTATTGATCAATAAATCGGTAATTTTTTGCTTGATCTTTTCACTGTAGTTATTTTGAATTAGAAATGCATGTGTTTCGTGGTTAGCAGTCTAAACAAGAATTAATTATAATGATTAAATAAAATAAAAAACGCTTGTCTTGAGATTATGGATTTTAATTGATTTCATCTAAAGATATATTATTATTGCTATTATCGAGTCAATATAAGACGCTTAATTTTTTTTGGGATAAGGGTCAGATAGGGCCTCGAACTCGAAAAAAAATGTCAAATAAGGTCATATTTCGGATGCTCTGTCTGGCTGACGCCATTTGGGGCGGTTCCCGATGGAATTTTTTGATGAAATTTTTTGAGCATCTTCCTCATTAAGTCTAGTTTACCCATACCAAATTTCAGCTAAAAATTCAACCGGGAAGGTAGTCAAATAATTTTCCGAAATGTACGGCGTTGTTTAACTTCACAGTTATCTTCAAAAACTCATTTGACTACCTTCCCGGTTGAGTTTTTAGCTGAAATTTGGTATGGGTAAACTAGACTTAATGAGGAAGATGCTCAAAAAATTTTATCAAAAAATTCCATCGGGAACCGCCCCAAATGGCGTCGGCCAGACAGAGCATCCGAAATATGACCTTATTTGACATTTTTTTTCGAGTTCGAGGCCCTATCTGACCCTTATCCCATTTTTTTTCTATGTTGACTAATAGTATAGTAAGGGCTATATTACGGAACAAACCATGTCTAGTTATTAATAGCTATTCTAGATGAATTGAAGTTTCACCACAAGTAAGTATTCAAGAGGGCATAGTTAAAATAATAACCGTGATCAATGAGAATTTCACCAAGTGAAAATTAGCAACCAAGTCCCTATCTCAATTGATTCATTTATCACATAATTTATTCATCTTAGTGTTTTAATCTTTTCAAGTTCGTACAAATTTAGAACCCCCATTTCTCTTACAACTTCACACGAGCAAAATACGCTTTTCATGTGAATACGAACTCTACTACATTATACTATCATAGTTAGTGCTAGTGGTGAAACTATATTTGGTACGCACATGACGAGTGCATGTCGATCTGTGTGCTATTTACCCTATAATATAATACATGTTCCATATTAGTTAGCTATTAATTAGTTCCTTTATTTTACACTATTAATTTCATTCTTCTTTCATGTCCACTTATGGTGTTGAAATATTTATCCTACATCGAACGGTACTGTTATAAAGTAATAAAACATTATATTGATCTATTTCTTCTATCAGGTTGAGCTTTTGGAATGGAACCCTGAATCTTAACATGGTATCAGAGCCAAATATTTTTGTGTGGGACCCCTTGAAAAATAGTGCCATGATTATAAAATACGACAACGGCGAAACGATGAAAAATGAATGACGGCACAATCCAGAAAAAGTTTTGGGTCATCATAAAGAGGGGTATTGAAGTATTTCTCACACCGGTAACATATTAAATAATAAAATGCTATATTAAGATCCTCGACTAGTCAACCTATCAGGTATTTTCGTAGACCTTTTAGGATGAAATCACGAATCTTAATATGGGTTCATAACTAGATCTGATTATGGTTTGATTGTTGTTTGGCACCAATGATAGAGAAGTAACTCATTAAGGTTTTGCTTGACCCATTTTGTACACCTCGATATATCCTTTCAGGTTTGGGCTAAGAGCGCGTGTTTAAGTAATTCTCACACACCAGATTGGTATAAAGTAATGAAACGTTACATAAGATATCAGGTTATGCCTATCAGATTGAACTTTTAGGATCAATTTTTGTTTCTTAATGTGTGGCTAGACCTACACAAAAACGGACTCGAGCCGGGCTAAACATAAATTTTCTGCCCATTGGTGTGGGTGAAAAAAATCTCTTTTGGCTCTGATATCATGAATCGATTCATGTTAACCGGCCCCAAAATCTTTTGAGAGTAAAGCTATGATGTTGTTGTTGGTGTGTGTGTGTCGGGGGGGGGGGGGGGGGGGGGTCATCGCAAAACAAGACTAACCATATATGCCCATACCCGCTCGTCCCCGCAAAAACGAGCCAGATAGTCCATCAGGCCAACCGGCTCGAGAAAATTTAAAAATTTCAAAATTATATGATCTTTTTAATACTCTCAAAATAATACTGGCACATTTAAAAAATTGTCAATACACTTATAATGTTGATAAGTCTCTCACCACATACCCAAGAAATATTTGCACAAAACTAATCATGAGAAACTATAACTAGTATAGATATTATATTGGTTGGGTTAGTTGTTAAGAACTAAAGACTTAAACAGGTCAGGCTTATTGGCCTGAACAGGCCTACACCCTAACCCAAGCCCGACCATATGCTATTGCGGGTCAAGCCCGTCCCGTCCTGGTGGGTAAACATATACGTTCAAGTCCGTCCATTTGTGCGGGTGGGATGGGCGGGCCGGGCAGGTTGGCCCGTTTATGTGCAGGTCTCCCCACACCTGGTGTGGGATCCTTTGCTTACAGTATGTTGCTCTACTTTATGTTTAACGGTATCATCATTTAATAGCAACCCATAGTTTAAAATGAAAACTTCGGGAAAATAATAATAAAGACCTCCATGTATATATGAACTAGTATATCTGTATATATGAAGGGTAATATAGAGAACTACACAATTTCAAATCTATCATAAAATCATACTAGAAAGTTAACATATATGCACTCTTACTTTTAAAAAATCACCCTAGTCATTTTATCGTAATTGAACCTTAATAGTATCAACCTTTATCAAAAAATGAAAAATGAATATATGTATATATATATATTAGGGTGAGGTTCAAATAAGAAGAAGTCTTTAGGTGAGAAATGAGAATGAATCTCAACCATTAGATTCGACTATTTTGCAGTAAAAGTATTTTATATTGCACTGAAATATGCAACCTAATTTGGTGGCATTTTTTGAAAATAATCGTGTTACAGTTGTCTAGTGCAACAAGAAGCAGTTTTGGTGCAACATCGTCAAATATAAGAGCAACATGAAACAGTTTTAGCGCGACATTGCAAAATTTAAATCTTATTGCAACAAGAAACTATTTTTAGTGCAAAATCGTAAATCTAACGGTTGAGATTCATTCTCATTTTTCACATTAGATGCATTTATCACTTGAACCAATTATATATATAGGAAAATATATATAATGTAAGCCTAAAAGTTAAAATTTTAGGCCTTTTTCGGTTGAGGGGCTTCCGCAATGAATTTTTTGATGAAATTTTGTGAGAATGTTCTCCATGAATTGTATATTATATCTACCAAATTTTAGATTAAAATTTAATCGGGAAGTCACATAAATAATTTTTTTAAAATTGGGCAGTTTTTTAAACATATAACATGCAGTTTTTTTCAATAATTTAGTTAACTAACTTCCCGATTGAATTTTAAGTTGAATAATTCATTTCTCATTTCTCACATAACATACACTTCAAGGAGAACATGCTCACAAAATTTCATCAAAAATTCGACTCGGAAACACCTCAAATGAAAGAGGCCTAAGAATTACAACTTTTAGGCCTATCTTACATGAACTTTAAGGCAACTTTTTTATACTCCCGAAAAGGTTCACCAACTTTGACTTTCACAGGGATTAATAAAGTAAAAATTGTGTGGTTGAAATTTGTGCAGAGGAAAGAGAATTAACTTTAGCCACATATTCCTTACTTTAAATGGAAATGACAAATCTTTTTGGGACATCCAGAAAAGGAAATTTGGCAAACCTTTTCGGGACGGAGGGAGTATATATATATATAAACAAATCATAAACTTTTGAAAAATATAGCTATATAAATTTCAAATCATAAACATTTTCAAAATCAATAAGTAGTCAGAAAAGTTGTAAAAAAAGAAATGATTATAAAATAAACTAAAATAAAATAAATTAAAGAGAGAAAGTTGTTGGAAACTAAAAAAAATGTAAAAATGACACGTTTCATCTTTTTTATGTTTTTCAAATTTATTCGTAAATGTCTATTGTTTTGAGCAAATTGACACTAATAATCCCTACTTTTATGCATTTAATTAATAAAAATATTAGCTCTACTTTTAGGCGTTTAATAAAAACGATCCCTACTGTGAACGTTGACAACAATAACCCCACCTCACAAGTCACCTCACAAAAATGAATTCAAGACTAACAATGTAAATTTTTACGTTATGTTTTTTTGCATATTGTATGAATCGAAAAATATAAAGAATTAAGGTTAAAGGATCAAATAGGTACATGAACTAACTTAAAGTGTTCAATTAGCCCCTTATATAGAAGGTTCTGCCCGGCCGTCGCAAATTGGGGCGGTTTTTGGTGGAATTTTTTGATGAAATTTTTTGAGCATCTT